ATTAAAGAACATCTCTATGCAATATGAGCAAAATAGCAGAATAAAATTGTTATATACAAAATGTGCGCATGTGGAGATTTACCGATTGCGTGATTGAGCATTACAATCGTAATGAGAAATTATGCGAAATCATAAAAAGACTTTTCGTTAGAGTTATCAACGTATGAAAGTATTTGTTCATTATGTTTATCTCTTTTTTTCTTGCATTTTTAAATCTCATTAACCGTATTTCTGCAATATTATTCAAGGTTGCAATAATACTGATTGTCGATGATGTTCTTTCTTTGTATTTCAAATGTATTTGTACATATAAACATGTTTATGATTGATATACTCATTTTTATAGCAAAACTTTAGACTTTGCTCTTATAATGTTCATTTGACATCAATTATCTTGATTTTTTCTTTTCCTATCTTTATCATGTTCTCGTTTCTCTTCTGTTCTTATTTCCATTAATTATTTCTTTTCAGGTTATTTTTTTAATTCTGCTTAGTGCTTGATATTGTGATTATTTCATATGAAATAATCTATAGTTAGATCTTCCTGTTTTCAAGCATGATTTTTAAAATATGTCCTCTTTAGTTTTTATTTTACTTAAAATAGCACATTCATGGGTAATTTATGTTTTTATAATATAACTTATCCTATTTCCGATCTCTTTGTTTTTTTTATTATTAATGGATTGTTGATGCATTGATGACAAGTGACGTTTTATATTTTCCGATCGATGATTAATAACTGTCATTTATCTGAAAAATAAAGAATCTATTGGTTTATTAATCAGTAGATTTAAATATATCAAGAATAATCATTAAATAATTTGTTTTACAAGACAGATTGTATTTTTTGAGTATGCTTAAAAAATTGTTTATATGCAGATAAACATCATTTCTCAATACATTTTCTATTATTCAGTTCGTTTTGAAATAGTAGAGTGTAGTTTTTATTGAAATAAATATTAAGCTATAAGATTATTTTCCTATGATGAATCAGAAAGAGTTTGTCATTCATCGATGTAAAATTGGTATATTCATTATGTTGTAGTCATAAGTCAAATAATGACTTCTATACAATTTTTATTTTATTTTTCTCATGATATACGCTTTTAAATTGAACGTGCAGTATATATAAAATATATCCACTAATATGCGCTCAGAGAGAGTTACATTTTTTTTCTATTTTTCTAATTTAAATCCTCTTCTAATAATTAAGTTTATTTCGAGAATTTGGTCATGTTGATATTTAGAATTATACTCTAAAGAGAGAATTTTTGGGAATATTTTTTTATTTCTATTTTACAACACATTCTGTTCGGTATGTATTCTCATTTGTATCACATAACAATTTTTTTCAATGACAGATAGTTTGACTCAATATTGTATCGGTGTATTTATGTAATACAAAATCACTTTTCTTTGTAAGTATTTATTAGCTTCCCTTGAATTTCTGATGATCATGCTTCTTTGATCGGTTTCTCTCTATTAGACGAGTATGACATCTTTGAGAATTATATATAAAGAGTTAATTATGTTGTGTTTTGTTCCATAATATAAAAGTTATTAAATGTTTATAATTTGTAGTTTTTACTTGGAGTCTTTTTTCTTATATTTTCACACATGATTTATCGAGAGTAATTATAAAGATTAATTAGATTGTTGAATTAGTTTATTTCATATATCATGAGTAATATAAGAACTATTGACAATGAAGAATAAGTATGTAAATATAGATGTAAGAATTATTTGAATGAGAAGTTCTTTTGATCTTTTTCTAAATATTCAGAAAGTTTTTAATCTTTTACTTTCATCAATTATACTTGGTGAAACTTCAACTAGACTAGTCACCCAAGAAAACATGCAACATTTTATAATATTAATCAACTATAAAATTTGTACATCGTGACATTACATACGGATAAACAAAAGATAGTTACAGTCCATTTTCTTTTAAAAATACTGTCATTATTAAAACTCTGTTTTAAAAAAAAATAATTAGACAGTCTGAAAGAGTTTGAATTTCTCTATTAATTTGTATATCGATGTACTTATTTACTGAAAATAAATAAGATTCTTCCCAGAAATTAAAATTAGTGAAATCCATCAATTAGAGTTTATTGAGTCCTCTACAAAAGTATATTATTTAAAACAGAATACAGTTTTTTTATTAAACATTATGAGAAAAACCTAGTGGGGAAAAAGCAAAAACTTCGTACTCCAAGGATATGTCAAAACTATCTTCCAGAACTTTTTAGCTATTTCAAATCTATTATCAACGTATGTCACAAGCATATTAGTTTGAGTTCATTGTATATAAGTTTATCTGGCTATAAAACCCAAATACTTTATCGCCCTGTATAATGAAGTGTTTGAGCTTTATTCTCAGACACACTTATATAAAGTAAGCACAAAGTAATATTCTTGTTGCACACGTTGATAATAGATTTGGAATAGCTAAAAAGTTCTAGAGGATAGTTTTGACATACCCTAGGAGTACGGTGTTTTTGCTTTTTTCCCTTTGGAAAAGCTGCATTGGACGTTGTCGAAGGAAAATCAAATTTTTAATAAAGTTGTTTCATATGAAACCTGTGGCTATAAAACTCGTATGTTTTGATACCGTTATAAAGTCAACGTCGCGTTAACTATACTTACACATAACCTGCCTAAAAATTTCGAAAGCCAACTGCAAGACATTTTTCCTAACAAACATATTTTTTTAAACTTTTCGGCCTTTGGTAAGTAGTTTGAATGAGATATTTATATATAACTTTATAGTAGAAACTCTGTTCTTTCAAACAAGAAAACTATTAAGTCTCTGCAACGAGCTGTAGTCACGACCTATTAAAAGAAATTAATACAGAATTTTTGCATCAAATGTAATGTCGGCATATTCTTGACTAGATTTCCACGAACTTCCTTACTACGTGTTCAATTAGTTTTTCAAAATTTATCATCTTTATAGAAATAGGATTTGAAAAAAAAAGTAATCATATATTCTGAGAAGGTTTGAAATTTTCGATTGATATATATAAATATATATTTATCTATTATCGTGTATGCATTTCTAACTACATGTTTTTTACTTAAATGTATCTGTAATAAGTGATCGTCTGAAAATGAGTTTGGTGGAAAATATCGGAAAATAAGCAGGAAAACGCAGAAGGAGAAAACAGAGACATTGAAGACATCGAATGGGAAAAACAGAAAAAAGGAAAAACGTCGAAAATGAGGATGTGGATATAGATTTTTTCTTTACTCACGCATTTTCACCCACTTGCACGCCCACCCACAATATTTAGCTTCCACCTACTTTTTTCCTTTTGACATTTCCTTTTTCGCTGTTTTTATCTTTTACATTCTTCTCTTCGACATTTTTCTTTTCTGCTTTTTCTGTTAATCCGCTGACAGCTGTTATCCTTTTACGAAACGTTGGACATGTGTAAGCTTTTATACAAAAACAAAAGTATTTCATTATGTTAGAAAATGTATTTCATACGATTAATAGAATTAAAATAGATAAACAATATACAATATATCTATCAGTAAGATTTCGAAAATACAAAGTGATAGACAAAGTCACACTTCAATACGAATAGGAAATGACTTTTATAAAGACAAAATCATGATTCTATTAAGAATAATTTCAAAATGAAACTAAAGAAAAAGGGTAGCGGAAAAAATATAGATTTTGTTATGCTTGTTGATTCTGAATGTGATCAAATTGTTTTATGACACATATATATAACACAATAGGTAAAAATATTATATATACTAATAGAAAGTGTCACTCTCTTAGAATACATAATTACTTGTTTAAAAAGGTATTTCTATAATGATGATAAGTTTAAAAGAACTAATTGAAAAGGACGTCACATAATGCCTTAAGTGAAAAGCTGATTATGAATGTGTGATCATTATACTTGATATATTATTATTAGCGAATAAGTGCGTGACAAAATATAAATATGCAGAATAATTGAGAACGTCGGGGAGCTTTCAGAATTAATAATGTTTTTCTTTAAAAAAAAAACGTTCAGATAGTGACAATATATTGTAAAAATGAGTTGTAACCATCTTTTGACAGATATTTGCGCGTATCAACAATTTTAATCTGTTAGAAAGTACATGATCATAATGAATTATTCAATTTATTACACATCCCATTGCATGAAAACATGTTGACACATGATGCATTTCTTCTTATCAGCTCTTGAGTGTTTTTAATCAGAAGTCAATTCACTAGGAAATCTAATCGTCATGAAAATAGACCAAAAGATATTAGTTTAACAATTTTATTCCTTTAACATTTTTTATGTTGTATTCATTTTAATTTTTTTCTTTAAATATATTAAAATGATTTGTCAATTTAACTTGTAATATACGATTTAAGAAATATTTTTCAAATTCGATGTACGTGTACAGAGTATATAACCAATATGATTTGAGATTCACGTTGATCATGAATACGATTAGTTTTTTTATATAACGATTTTCGATTTCCTGTTTCTATCTCAAGAGAAACAATATCTCCTGATAGTAATTTATATATGTCAGTACTGTTCTTCGATTATTTTTAGTAATTTTTTTTCTCTTTCGAAAATCAAGACAAGAATAGATTTAGTATATGAATAATATCTAATCAGAAAAAAAACACAGAAAAAATCTCTTTCTAAGCTTTATTGTCAATAATGATGTAGTTTTTTTTGCTTCAAAACAATCTACGATTTAATATGCATAGAATATCTACTTCTCTTCTCTATTATTTTTATTGTATGCAAATCTCTTCATATATATAGACTAAAGCAACAAAAATTAACAATTACTGATTTATCAGCGATCATTTATAGTTACCTGGATATTTTAAAGTATAAGTGTTAATACATGTCACGACGTGAATTGTTCGTATTGGCTTTGGTTTTACATATTTTGGTCGTTCAGTTGACTGCTAGTCGAGTTTATTGTGAGTATAGAATCAAAAATCTTTAAAAAACCAATAATTCTATATGATTTTAAATCTAGCCGACGAAGATGATGATGATGATGATAATGCGTATCGTTTAATAAAACCTCTGTATTTTCGTCAATATATAACGCCTTCAACCGAACGAACACCGAGTATCCTTGATAATCTTATTCGTCCTTCATCAACTTATTCGCCAAATGAAAGTAAAAAACCAATATTTTTAGTCATTTTCTTTTATTTAACATATATATATATATATATATATATATTAATCTTAATATAGAATCAACAAGTGGAACTCAATATAGTACATCCTCACCTTCATATTCATCATTAGATCCATGTGCTTTGAATCCTTGTGATCATGGAGGCATCTGTATTCGAAAAGGACAAATGACTTATGAATGCAAATGTGTAGGTCCATGGCGGGGAATACATTGTGGTATTGGTATGTTATACAAACACTGTCAAATATTCACAAACAATTTTATTTGTTTTTTAAGCTGATGCATGTTACAGATCGCCATGCCAACATGGTGGTACATGTCTTAATGTACACGATGATTATTGGTGCCAATGTACAAGTGATTACTATGGTAAGATCGAATTTCTTAATGCATGTTTCTTTTTTTATATATCTCATTATTATTTGACTTATCTTAGGAACTGATTGCCAAAAAAGTAAGTATATTAATATGTCTTATTTAGTATGAATTATTTGTCTTTTTGTTTAGAATTTACTGGTCCAAGTTATTCGGAAAATCATTGTCGACCAAATATCTGTCATACAGGTCAATGTATTTCTCTTCAAACAACTTATTATTGTCAATGTCCTAATGATCGCTATGGTGAACATTGTGAAAAAAGTATGAATCTTCAAAATTATTGCATAGTTTAAATAAATTAGGAGGCATATTTTCTTTTTTTTTCTAAATAGAACTGTTCAAGCGAGAAATTTTCAATATGCGATTATATCAAAATCTATTACACAAACTTAAACGAGGCATGCTCAAGCAAGGAAGAAAAACGCAAAATGGTCACGATGGTGATGGTGTGGCATACTATGATGTTAAGAATGGAATCTATTTCTAAGAAAAAAATTCATTCTTTTTAAAAATAAAATTTTTATTTTAAAATATAACTATATATGTATATCATTCAATTCACAACTTATTATTGTAATTGTGAATATATTTTAAAATAAAAGTGATAATCAAGAGAGCGGAAATACGCCCTTCCAAAAAAAAAATAATAATTCTTAATTTTTCTCTTATTATTTTTTTTAATTTTATCTGAAAATCGAATCAAAATAAATTACATTAATCAACTTTAATTTAATTTTGTTTTGCTTGATTTTCAAATATTGTATGCTTTACGGATGCATAAAACTTGTTTAATATGATGAAATAAGATAGCTATCGAAAAATCAAACTTATAACTGACGAAGAAATATATTCAACTATTAATCGAAGTGATATTTTGCTCATAAGTTGGGGTTAATGAGACTGGTAAAAGCCTGCAAGGATTTTGTTCTATAGACGTTCCTAATAGAGTTATGACCTTTGTATCGGATTTTCGATTTATGGTAAGGCATTCGAATTTTTCCTCATCAATAGGTCCCTTGATCCTGAGTATAGCCTGAAAGTTATAGGCAAGTTTGAACGTTTCTTCTCAACATATTAAATATTGAAGAAGAATTAGCTGTATGACTTTTTATGACAAATGATTGTTTTTTTTTTTTGTATATTCAATATTTCGAGAAGGAGCCATCTGATTTGACTGAAACTTTCAGGATATACTCAGGATCAAGAGTTGTATTTATAGGCAATAGTTCTGATGTCTTATCATAGGCCGAAAACCCACTAAAACAGTCATAGCTCCATAAGGAATGTCTATTGGAAGAAATTCTTTCAGATTTTTTTCTAGCTTCACTGAGTTCAACCTATGAGTAAAATATCACTTCGATCGATGATTAACCGTTAGATATGTTCCCTCGTGAGAAAACATTCTTTTTTGTGTCACTTATGCATGGTTTCATTATCAATCGAATATCTTTAATTTTTAAATTTCGAATGATTTCATTCTTAAACTAAGATGAGATCGCTACTACACTCAAGAAATTCTCAAGTCCATTAATTCATAATCACTTGAAAAACAAAACAAGATTTTATTGCTTGATATATGAAAATAAAAGTTGTTTTTCCTGTTTGCTTAAGACTTAAACATTGAAATTACTCTAATAAATTTATTAAGATTGTTACAATTGAGTATGAAATTACATATTGCATGAAAATGTTAAATTTCACCATGCAGTCGAAATCTTTTTTTCGTGTTACTAATAATTTGAAATACAATTCTCAGCAGATTATTAAATGTTCGAAAGAAAGAAATCAAACTCATTTAATATCTTTACTTAGTTATTCGTACATTTTTTTTATGTGCTGTACAAAATATTTATATAATGAAAATTCATTTAGCTGCTACTGTCGTCAAAATTCCCCACATGAACATGCTATAAGATCCATGTATAAAGATAAAGTTATGTTGTCTTTCACAGAATATATTGATTCAAAACTCTAAAGTTCTTGTATCTTATTTTCTAATCTATATTCCTAAATATAAACGAAACGATGTCTGATAGTTATGCTAATGTATGAAACAACATCAAGATTTGAATATTAACTTATTCTACAATACAGGAAATAGATATTATAAATAGAAAATAATATGAATTAAAATGAATAAGAAAACTCTTTGAACTTGATTACATGAATTATTCAGATGTTAGTACTCAATCTAGAAAAGTAACGTTTATGAAGTTGTTCCAATTTTTCTTTTAATCTCATAGAGATTAATCGCTAGTCAAAATATAAATGAAATCGAACGATATGACCAAATGAAAATATTTTCGCATAAGAGTAAAATTTTTGTTTCTAATCTATTAAGTGTAGTATTTTCCACAACATTAGATCCTTCTTATCTTTTATAGTAGTTTCTCAATGAATTGCCTACATACATCTAGTTAGTTAAGTATTTCTGTCTTTACTTATCTTTTAATTATTCTTTGATATCAATCTCTTTTATATTCTTGAAGGATGGACACAACTAGTGTAATTTGATTTAGAACATCTGTCCATTCATGAAATTGATGAGGGCGTACTTTTAGACTTTTCTATATCTCAGGCATCATATTAATGAATATATTTTCTCTCCTATAATTAAGCAAGCATAATTGATATATGATAACTTCACATCACGTGTCATGTTACATTTACGACTCTTGAAAAACAAGATATTTCATTGATTCTCATTGTTCTTACATATTCTGTAATATTTAAATTATTTGTTGATTTATTCTTAGCAAGATCAGATATTGTTGAATGAATAAAACATTAAAATGAAACAAATTGCACGACTTGAAAAACAATTAATATAAACAAATTGAAAACTAATTAAACTTGTTAAATAATTAGCTAATCAATATTCGATCTTTCATAACGTTATATAATCATATTTTCAGACAATAAAACAATACCTAATAAAGAATCAAAAACTAATTATTCACAAATTATTTTTAAAAGATAAACAATAATGAATAATATACAAACAACAAAAGATAGTTTTAGAATAAGTCATATTGGAAAATATGATCTAAAAATAATATTAAAATATATAGGATAGAGATTTGCACCCACACCAGTCCCTTTCACAGATCGTAACAGATGCTAGTCGAAAATCATCACAGATTATGACAGACGCCAGTCAGAGATCAGTATAGACGCTAGTTAAAGATAACAGTCGCTAGTCAGAGACCATCAACGACTGTGATAGACGCCTTAGCAAAGTTTCTCCCTCTCCATCACAGACATTGTTGATACATGATCAAAAATCGTATATCAATAATATCTCATATAATATATAAACTACTGTCTTATTGCAGCCTTAGAGGACTAGGTAAAAGGACGGTGAATAAATATGCCTCAAAATAGATAGAATAAAACAATCTTCATGTGATTAACAAAAGCAACTACATCGTTTTTCACATTTTAATCTCACAGGGATTACGCTAACAGTTTTTCATAGTCATTATAAAAAATCATGATGTTACTTTTATACTTATTCAAACTCGTCATCTTATTCATATAAAAAATGACAATCTAATCTTTAATGATTATACAACCATTCTTATTAGGATTCAGAATCTTTTTCACTTCTTCTCTTTGGAAATAGACTGACTCGTTTTAATTTAAAATCATTTGAAAAAATACTTGATTAAACATAAATGTACTTGTAGGACTAAATTTTTCGTATACATAATATCATCATATATTATCGAGCATGTGGAAATCATGATAGTTTTTCCAGATTTTTTAAAAACTTCGTAGAAATGGGAAAAGGCAAAAAATTCTTCAGTCAATGAGATAGAAGTATATATGGTGATAATGTCAAATATATATTGCTTGGCAAATGGATCGATAACAACATCTGACTAATATTTGTTCACACTGTAGTTTTTCTATGATTGATTTTTATTAGAATAAGAAGAAAATTTTTCATTAAAATTTATATATGAATTTCAACGAAAACTCTATGATATAAAAATGTCAATAATGTATTATTTTATCAATCTGTCATTATAAGTGATTGCATTAACAAATACCAATTTTTCGGAAATGTCTTCAGTCTTTATCGAATTGATTACAGAAAAAAGTGTCCATATTCAAATGTTGTTGATTACTACAGAACAAAATGTAAATTAAAACTACACAATTTACTATGTTAATGCTGTTTTTGTATCAAGGTGACTGATGATTCATTTAGTTATATTTACAAATGTATTTCAATGATATCTTAACAAAAACCACATATTTTTTTTTTCAGTATAAAATTTTTTTATGAATCAATATTTGTCTTATGTTACGTAATAGTAAAATGATCGAGTGAAATTGTATCATGAAAAATCAGCAAATAATCTCATTGGGCATATAGATTAAACATAGTTTTATGCGTGCTTTTTTTTTCATTTCTAACTCAAGGTTATCATCATTCATATTTATGATGACGGATGTCACTAGATGAAATGATTTACCTCTATTCATCATTGGATATTACCTTGCCAATCATGAAGCAAGGCTTTTTATTTTGCCTGTTCTATTCTTCGTGTGTTCGCAACTTTGGTCACTATTTGAATTGGTCGTTACATTACCGTGTAAAGAGTCTTTTTTTTGCTTACTAAATGAAGCCTGTTGAAAGTATACGATAGAGGTTCATAAGTAACAACGGTCGTTATTTTCTTTTTTTTTCGTTTCATAGAAGGCCTTGCGTAACTTTTTTTTTTCGTTTTTTTTTCCTCTATATGAGTGATAATAGCGAGTATTGTTTCATATGTGAATTAAATTGTAGGTTGTCATCGTTGTCTATACATAGCGTTATTTGAGAACAAAAAAAAAACAATGGGTCGCAATGCTACCGATGTTGACGACGATAAAAATGACAAATCATCGGAAAAACGAACCACAAATGAATCCGAATCAGATACAGATTCGGATCTTGATGCTGAAGAATATATTGTTGAAAGAATTGTCAAAATGCGTACAACAAAAAAAGGCAAAGTTCAATGTAAGAAATCTATATATATATATATATTTTTTTTTTTTCTTCAAAATGATTATTATATAATATTTTTTATTTCATTAAAAACAAAAAAGATTTACTTAAATGGAAAGGTTTTTCCGAGGGTGAAAATACGTGGGTAAAGAACAAATTTTTTTTCATTAAATTTCTTTTTTCTGACAGTTTCATTATTCCAGGAACCTGCAGAAAACCTTGAATGTCCTGAATTAATAGCAGCTTTTATGGCTGAACAAAAAGAAAAACAACAAGCATCAGCATCAAAAAGTGATGAAACGTCAAATGGAAAACGATCTCGTAGTACTAGTAATAATAATACTAATAATAATCATAATAATAATAATACCGATGGAGATAAGAACAATAATAATAATAATAATACTTCTCAAACTAAACGACCTCGTATTGAATTTGATCAAACTGGTTATGGTCGTGGTCTTGTGCCAGATATGTTATTGGGTGCAACGGATATATATGATGGAGAATTAATGTTTTTGTAAAATAATTTAATTTTCAAATGATTTTAAATTAATTTTTTTTAAATTTAAGAGTAAAATGGCAAGGAGTAAATAAAGCTGAACTTGTTCCATCACGTATTGTGAATAAACAATCTCCACAACTTGTGATAAAATTTTATGAAGATCGATTAACATGGAATTCAACAAATACTAATAACAATAATAATAATAATCCAAATAATAATAATCCAAATAATAATAATCCAAA